CTGCTGAAGATGGTGGGTATTAAGTTTTCTAATTACAAAATATAAACTGAAGTCTAAAACTGGCTTTGGAGGGCAAATAATTTTTGGGTTCTCTGACACCCCCTAGCCCCACTCGTGTGTGTGTGTGTGTGTGTGTGTGTGTGTTTAAAGATGCCCATTTTTACTGTAATCACAGTGGGACAAACCTGAATGCTTCTCTGGTTTCACACAGTCCCCAGCATCCAACTGCATCCACAATAAACAGATGCCTCCAGCCGGTACAGGTACATACCACTCCTACAACCTACCTAGACACCACCAAGCCTTTCCTTTCTTCAGGGTTTCACCCTACCCACAGCAGTGACACCAGTTTTTTCAAAGAGGATCTATCTTTGTAAGCAGTTTTAAATTCTGCCAAAAGGGCAACCTGCAGAGGCAACTTCTTAAGAACATTTGTTTTTCACTGTTCCTACAAGTTAGAATTTTAGGTGACTCATGTCAGTTTTAGTCTTCATTTCCAGGGCTGGATCAAATTAATTCATAAATATTTAGGTAACAACTCTTGTTGGTTCCTTTTACACTTTCAATGAAGATAAGTATTTAAAAAGTGATTATCTTGTTAAGAAGTCAGGATCAGTTCTCTGGTGCTACACAATGACCCTTACCAGTAACTGCCACTTTGGCAGGTGGACTCTAATTTCCACAATCTCCAGTGCAGCCTGCATTTTAAAAGGAAGAAAGCACAAGTAATTGTGTTGACTACAACAAATAGTGTGTTTATTGTCCTTCTACTACTTTCCAAGTGGGTCTGGGGACCTTTTCAAAAGTACCTGTTATACTGGCCAATACTTTCCCCTTTGCAGTCTCCTGACCCCTCCCTTGTGAGGAAGTCACTACAGTCACCATTAAACTACAAGTGCCTTGTCTATACAGACAGAATTCCACTCAGCTCTTTGCAAACTCACCTTCTTTCTGCCACCAACACCCCGTCAACCTACCACCCACCCCTGCCAGCAACCTGCCATAGCTCAGAATTTTTCAGAAAAAGCCAAACAGTATTCTCCAAAGCAAAATAAGTTTCATCTCATCTTCTCTTTGCCCTCAATAATGTTCAGTGTTGTTTGGGAAAAAAAACAAAGCAACGGATATTCCTGAACTAGGACTTGCTCCTACTTCAGTTAATCAGTCAAGGAGAACAGCTAGAGAAGAGAACCAAAGAAACAACCTTCTATTAAATAAAGTGATGGCTGCCATATCTTTAAGTAAGTTCTAATATAAATCTCTGGTGGAGTTTGACGTTATGGAACAACCAGTCTCTCAGAAGTGATCTAAATTTCAATTCTCTGTTGATCAAAGGAAGGTGTCGTGCCTTATGACCTATGAGGTAAGTGAATGATGCCTAAGACTCTTCTGGGTCAGGAACCCCTTTTGAGAATCTGCTGAGTTATGTCGTCTCCCCAGAATTATGCAAAGCAACACTGTCCCACAACACCCTGCACTCCAATGTCAGAGCCCTGCCTAAGTCCACACATCTCATGGTCCAGAGTCTCCCCCAGGCACCCCAAGTTTCCTCCTTTCCCCAAACAGTGATCACATGAATTAGGTATTTCAGTACTGCTTCATTCAATAAATACTTTTGTGTAACATTAAAAAGGATGGTTGCAAAATGGCAGCAAGAATATGCAGTGCCTCCAACAGTACTTGGCTCTGTAAGTGCTCAACGAGTATTTGTTAAGTGAATTAAAGCAAGAAAACAAATGTTCTGTTCTGTTTTGTTTTGTTATAAAGACAGTGTCTTCCAGTTGGTTGCTGGTGGCTCACACCTATAATCCTAACTACCTGGAAGGCTGAGATCCGGAGGATCACAGTTCTAGACCAACCCAGGCAAATAGTTTGCAAGACCCTATCGCCAAAATAACCAGAGCAAATGGACTGAAGATGTGGCTCAAGTGGTAGAATGCAGCCCTGAGTTCAAACCCCAGTTCCACCAAAAAAAAAAAAAAAAAAAAAAAGGAAAGCCAGGGTCTTCCTATGTAGCCCAGGATGGCTTCAAACTTGAAATCCTCCTGCCTTAACCTCCTGAGTGCTAGGATTACAGGCATGTGCATCACATCCAGCCTGTTCCATCATACTTTTTAAAAGCTATACAATTCTTTGTGTAATCTCTAATTCCAAGTCTTTCAAGCAGATGTAAGTGACACTCCCTTTAGCCAAAATTTAATGCAATTTATCTTTAATTTTAATGCCTAAAAGTTAACTTTTTGTTACTGATGTACCCTATTGAAGAGATAATGGCCTTTCTTTAGTCTTATATTTTGCTCAACAGCTACACTCATAAGGAGGCTAATAAATTAATAATGAAAAGAAAAACAAAGCAGAGAGTTAAAAAACAGTAAAATTTAAAAGCCAACCAACCAAACAAAAAACACATCAAAACAAACTCCTAAAAAGTTACTACCTTTATCGTTCATCCTTTTCGGAAAAAAAAAACTTAAGTTCGTGTTTTCATTCTGGTTTTTTTCTAGGTTATACATTTAAACAGACTGCTTATATTAAACCTCATTTTTGCCTACCATAGAAACTTAAAACTAGCAAATTAAAAATAAACTCCTACCAACCATATCTAGGCTCACAATTTAAATCCACAAAACACCCACATTCCCTCTGGATCTACCTATTTTTTGCACTTGATTTAAAGAAAATGTTCAATATAAAAAGAGTAGGAAAAAAAACAAAAAACAAAAAACAAGTAGTCTCAGTCTTAACTGTCAGCTGTGGTTCCCAGTTTAGTCCAAGGAACCCCTAGTGGTCCCAGGGACTGTTCCAATCTCTATGAGAGCAAGTTTTCTTCCAAAACAACTGAATTACAACAGATTTAATACAGAAGCTTATCAGAAATTAGCTATCCTCTTTTAAGCCAGGCATTAAAAAAGTTTGCAAACATGCAAGACTGCCAATTCATCCCACTAAGACTTGTTCTGGAAAAGTGATTTTTTTTTTAAGTAATCATGTTAAAATGCTAACATGATTATTTTAAAAATCTGCTTTATTTATGATCCAGTAAGTATCAAGGTATACAATCAAGAAAGACACCTTCTTAGGGGTCCTCAATAATTTCAATTCAAAGAGAGGACAGAACAATCAGATACGACAAGGCTTGAAAGACAACCACTCTTAACCTCTTCACTGGGACAGGGAGTAATCGACGGACTATTATCTGCCACATAAAATTAGTCTTCATAATTCAAACCAGTTGATTTTAGGCACAAATAGTACACATCATCTTATTACCCACTGATTGTCATATTCAACTGTATACCAAGTTTTAAGAGCTATTTAATTTAATGTAACTGTAGCAAAATTCCATCTACTAATGTGGACATTGAACAACCCAATTCCTCTTTATGGACAAAATGAACATTACAATCAGTGGTTTGCCCAATTTTGCATCATCACCTCTCAAGAGTTTTCTGTAGTAGTTAGGCAAGAGAGAGGAAAGAAAGAGAAAGAGAGTTGGGGGGAGGGGAGTGAGAAAGAGGAAGGGAGAGGGAGAGGGAAAGAGGAGAGGTGGGGAGAGGGAAAGTCAGTCCAGAGATAAAGCTCAAATGCCACAACACGAAGCATGGGCTTTCCCCATACATCCTGTCTTCTAATGTAGAGTTAAATTTTTTAATTTGATATTCTACTGAATGAACATGGCAGAACACACATGGTCTATAGAGACCCTGAAACAGTAAAACAAAGGTCACTTCCATAAATCACAGCTAGTTTACTCATGTTTGTACTTTGTGCATAGGCTATTTTATTTTCTTACAACTTCTTGTACCTCCACTCTCAACACTTTTAAAAGAAAACATATGAGAATATAAAATTGAGTCTCCCCTTCCTCTAACTATTATTGCCCACTCCTCCAAACACATCCCAATGCATGAAGCACACCAAGATCTATCTCAAAGAGAGCTGTTTAAGGCAACCACTATTTTGCATTGGGGGTGGGAAGGGGAAGAAATGGTAAGTTTTTCAAACCACAAAGATTTGTGCATCTTACCCCCAAACTCCTAACAGAAAAGTATCAGAATGCAGCTGAGGGTGTAGTTCAGTGGTACAGCACTGTCTAGCAAGCACAACGTCCTGGGTTCAATCCCCAGGCCCGCCAAAAAAAAAAAAGAAATAAAAAGGGCATCAGAGCAATTTAAAAGTTTACTGTTCTATTTTTTTCCTTGTTTTAAAGTTGTTTAAAATGTTGCTATGTTTAGAAATAAGGGGCAAGAAGCAAAACATGTAGTCTTATCTTAGCTGAACCAGGGCCAAATTCTCTCTCTACTGATTCTAGAACATGCAAGAGATGCGTTTTGGATACAGGCCTCCCTCCACACTGGCAGGTACAGGTACTATCCATGAGCAGACCTGATGCATCACAAAAAATGGGTACAATTTAGGCTTGTGAAAACACAAACTCTATAGACACAGTCCTATCCATTGACTCCCCTTATTATTTAACTGTTTACTTATATGCTCAGTCTTAGGTCAAAAATAAATTTAAGTTCAAGTTCACACTCCAAGAATAAGGAAAAGAAAGAGATATAGAAACCTAGCAACTAATACGCATTCAGAGAGGATACAGCATAGTTTAGATGGAAGACATTACTAACCAACTTCATATAAGATGAATATGAATATTGTTTTAAACTACGTATGACCAGGACTCAAAATGCAACAACAAGCATACTTTTCAAGTGGGTCTGAAGTGTATTTCCAGTTAGCAAACAGCTTCACCTTCAAATCAATCATCTCTTGTCTAACACCAATTTGAATGCAAAGATGAGAGGGGAAACATTCATATAAGCAAAATACTTTTAAAAAGAAGACAAAAGAAATAAACCAGGTAATTGAAAGAGACAGGGGGAGACTGCGTGTCTGTTCGTGCTTGTGTTTGAAGAAGAGCAGCTTGGAGAAGCCTTGTGGTAGGGGGACTCTTGTTGGGGGAACTGTTTGTGTGCAGCAGACGCTGGTGTACTTACTGTGCCCGGCTCTCTGTCTGCTCCCGAGGTTACCAAGAAACGCACAGACATGCCCGTTCAGACACAGAGGCAAGAACAGAAATAAAAAAAAAGGGGGTAGTAATTAGAACACAAGCCCCAAACAGTTTTAAAAATGGCTTTTATTTATATAAGTCATTGCACATTCCTAATACAGTGATTTCCTGAAAATTACAGTATTTTGTAAACATAAGATATACAGTTTAACCATACACAAAGCCTATTTTTTTATTTCTTGACAGAATAAATTACTTTTCTCCAAAAAATTAGTCAAGTGCAATTTTGCCCAATATTTAATGCATACTAGAATTAAAGCCTATGAAACTAAGTAGTAACAGATGCAATTATCAAACCTTTCATTTGAACACATTCACTTTCAAATTTAACTTCTTATTTCGCCCCATTTAACAACATTACTTTCTTTGAAAATTACCCAATTAAGCAGTTAACAGTTTTCCATAATACGGTACAGGCCACTGGCATTAGCTAAGCAGTTGCCAAGATGTCAGGATGCCTGACTTTAATTAGACTGGGAAACCTACGATGCCCACGGCAAACCCTGCAAACAAACTTGCAGGGTGAACTGGGTGTCAGTGGAAAGCTTTGCGACAGTTCCTCTTATCTCATTGTTTGCTCTCTGTATAGGGTTGGGGCTTTCGTTAGCGATGTACACAACTTTGCAGCACTGTCTGAGTATGAGGGCAAAGTCCTAATCCGGCTTGCCCGGCCTCTCACCTCTGTGGTGCTCTGCATCATGGTGCTTCTTGTCATCTTTTATTGCCAAGTGAGACTGCCCACTCAGAGCACTAGACAGCGCAAGAAGGCTGGCACTACCCCCGAGGGGTGGGATGCCAGGAGGCTGCAGTCCCGAAGGGTGAGGTGTGAGAGGTACTGGGGGTCCGTGGCCATGAGAGAGATGCTGAGCTTGCAACTGCTGCTGCTGTTGGTAGTCGGGAGAGAGGAGGAAGAGGAGGAGGAAGAGAAGGAAGGTGGAGGTAGTAGTAATGGTAGAGGCAGCATCCAGGGAAAGAACAGACATGATGTGAGAAGGTACAAGAAACACAATAGGACATTGGACATGCACAAGAAGGGAGCAAAGACAGAGACAGAAGGAAGAAGTGGTAAAAATTACATTAGTGCTTGCAATTCATCAAAAACTCTCACCTACTCAGTTACTTTTCCCCACTATCCCAAAATCTAATCCTCAGATCTACACAGCCACATTCTGGCATAACTCATCCCCAGAAGAGCTCCTTCTTATTAAGCAGTAAGACTTACACATGAACCTCATCTGCAGGTGCCTCCAGGGACAAAATCCAGCGTATCATTAAGTCTAACACGTCACAGACTTGAAGGCTCATTCTGATTTCAGAGTGGTTAAGCTGGGAGATGTGCAGATCATCCCACAATGCAGTAACCACACCCCAGCAACTAATCTCATTATCAGGCAACTGCATCTCATCATCCTTTATACTTTTTTTTTTTTTGGTGGGACTGGGATTTGAACTCAGGGTTTAAAACTGGCAAAGCAGGCACACCTCCAGTTCATTTTGCTCTGGTTATTTTGGAGATGGGGTCTTAAGAACTATTTGCCCAGGCTGGCCTCAAACCACGATCCTCCCAATCTCAGCTTCCCAAGTAGCTAGGTGAATGGCACCAGTGTTGGCTCAGACATGTATCTTTTTAATGAACAGGACTCAGAAAGAACTAACATTTGGCACCACCCACCCAGAACTTGCGTGTCCTCATTTCTTCAGGCCCTTTTAGAACAGTGAGGAGTACTGATATTTCCGTTTCTCAGGAACAACCATGGCTCAAAGTCACTGGGAAAACTGTTGAGGTTCTCCCACTGGGCAGGAGGGGACTCCCAGAAATGACCCTTAGAACAGCTCAGTCACTATCCCACAGAGAGAGGTGGTCTCAGAGAATGGTGAACTTGCCAGGCTCTGGTGGCTCACACCTATACATAATTACTTGGGAGGCTGAGATCGACTGGGAGGACTGTGGGTCAAGACCAGTCTGAGCAAATAGCTTAAGAGACCCGAGACCCCATCCCATCTCCAAAATAATCAGAGGGAAACAGACTGGAGATGTGGCTCAAGAGGCAGAGTGCCTTGCTTTGCCAGTTCAAAGCCCTGAGTTCAAACCCAGTCCCATTTAAAAAAAAAAAAAAAAAAGGAATCTTGACAAAGCACTTTTCAGTGAGGTATGGGATTCCAACTGGGTTGACCCAAGTTCTCCATTCCCAGGTACCCTTTCCTTGCACTGCTCTGCCTCCACCACTTAATTCATCCCACAGGTGATAAATATGCTCACATTAAACAAAATTGTTGCTCTTATATATTTAAAAGCATGTTGTACAAGATGAGAAGTATCCAAGAAATTGCCCAATGCCATAAATCAGGATGCATTTCAAAAGCTGTCCAATATAAAACTCATTTTTGATGAGACAGTAAAAGCACTTAAAGCTCAATTCCTAAGGTGTAATATTAAAAAAACTCTTAAGATTCTGATTTGTGCTCACTTCCCTGGGACTCAATTACTCATTTTATTTATTACCCCCTTGTGTGTACTGAATATATCAAATCTTCACGCCAGATCTTTGGTAATTTCCGCTCAGATCACTGGTTTTTAATTGAATCCAAAAATGCTTCTCACCCAATGGCACAAGAAAAAACCACCTTAATAATCAAGAAGTTGCTATCTGCTATACTTTTACAGCAAATTTTCAACCACTTCTATCACCTCTAAAAAATTTTAAGAGTTCACCTTCTTTTTAAACTTCCAAAGGGAGCCTTGTTCTAATTAGAGGGAAAGGGTGTGTGTGAGGTCTGGGTGGAGCGCATTAATAGCATTCTTCAAAAAGTATTTATAAGCTATTCATTCACCATTTGATATTATACTAACAATTTCTATGCATAAACTCACCTTCCTGTCATGCAAAAGACACTATTTCTTGCTCTGCCACCTTTTAAGAGCTCAGCAACAGTGAGACATAAAACCAAAGAAGTTGGCAGCAGCAGCATGGTCCACTAGGCATACTCATTAGCACTTAATTAGGAACTAGACACCTGCCATAAGAAATGTGCTCGGAGAAGGATGAGGAACAGGTCTGCCCTACCAGCAATTACTATCATTACTTGGGTAGCAGGAGCTATGTCCGGCTTTTGGGAGGGAAGCGCAGTGATGCATATACAAGCAAGTACAGTGGGTAATTAAGCACGGCACTCATTAAAGAAGATGAGAGAGGCTAAGCAGAGAGGATGGGATTTAACGACAGGGTGGAGGACACTCCCTCACCCCTTCCTGCGCCCCCCACTCCTCAACACATCGAGGATGGAACACCAGAAGAGCCACTTCAGAGGTGGAACCTCGGGTGGGAGCAAACATGAACTCAGGTCCTTCTGGACACGCAAGAAGAAACTAGAGATTTGTACGCCAAAATTTCAAGTTTTCAGTAAGATGAACTGGAAAGAGGAGCTAGGTTATCTAATCAAGGGGCTCCATCACAGTTGTGAAATATACAGTTAAAACCAACAGTTAGGCTAACAACTAGCAGCAAGGACATTCAGCAGCCTAACTAGCCCAGGGAAACTCCCACTTCTATCCTGCCCTGGGCTTCCCAGTACTCTTTATTAGAGGTAAACTAGGTTCTTCCATCCTTAGCTCAGGAATCTTTTTTTTTTTTTTAAAGGGTGTTGAGGGGTGGGAGGGAGCAAAGTCTTTTCAAACTGGAAGACTATTTGATCACTAGTAAGTGACTGAATAGGTCACAACTGTTGAGGCGTGGATCTGCTTTACCGAATGCTCTCATTCTTAATCCTGCCTAGCAGCACCCCTGGATACTGTAATACATTTTTGTCCATTATCTGCCCTAAGCTCAGAACACACCTTGAGGCAGGGAGCATAGATTTCAGACTCCCATTTCACACAAGAGACTGGCTTGAAGCTCAGAGCTAGAATGAGGACTACAAGCCTGTTTTGCATTCCTAGTACAGCAAAAAGGTGACGCTCATGTTCCCAACACAAGGAAGGAAGAGGTCCATTGAAGGCTTTGGGTTTTTCTCTCCCAGTCCAGCCAGCGAAATGCTTCAGGGCACAAAATTCCATGTATCTAGGTACAAATCCACCCTCGCCATCTGGCCTTGACAGCAGTGACATACAAGTTTGCTATTACATTTCATGGCCACCATCTCTCTTATCCCCACTTCTCAGTGCCTGCCCATCACTGTATCTGAAAACTCATTTGCTCCCAAGTCTCTTCCAAGGAAGCTTCTGAAGAAGAATAAAGTTTACACAGAGAAAGCTCTGGCTTTTCTTTCAGAAGCAGATACTTAGCATTGTAAGTGAAGAGGGTCATTTCTAAGATAAAACACATTTATTTAAATGAATACAGGGCCCATATCTAAAAACAGTTAACTCCAAAAGGTCAGCCCACACCTGTTCCAATGTATCTTTAAAGAACACTTCCTCTCAACAAGGCTTACCCGCAACAGCCTGGCACCCATCACCCTTACAAAAAGCACAAAAGCACAAATACTTAGATCCTGATATTCCTGTAGAGCCAAAAAAAAAAAAAAAACAAACAAACAAACAAAAAACAGCCAACCAATGGCTTTACCACCTAGGGGAATGCACATGCATCTGTCCTACACAAACTAAAACCTCACTGTCACTAGGAAACTGTAAGATGTTTTAGAAGAGGAGAGCAAAGCTGGAGAAATTCAACCTCTTATCTAGCCATTAGTTCAACATAACTTGGGGGGAAAAAAGTTAATGCTTGCAGATTTACACAGCACAGAAGGCAAAAGCAAAACAGTGAGTAAAGCTATTAGAAATGACATTTTAGGGTCGTTTAGCTCAGTGGGCCCTGGGTTCAATACCCAGCAATGAAATAAAGAAACAGAAGGGATGTTTTTGATGAGTAGTGATTTTTTACAATAGTGCTGATTCTTTAGGCTATAAATCCAGACTAGTGGTTCTCAAACAGACAATTTGCCAGGGACATTTGGCACTGTCTAGAGACATCTGTGGTTGCTGCAAATGGGGGGAGCACCACAGCCCAAAAATGAAGTTAAATATTCTGCAATGCACAGAGAAGCTCTCCACTGGAGAATCACCAAGTCCAAAATGTTCATATTGCTGGGGGGATGAGAAATGCAAGTTAAGATCTAAACTGGGGGCTTGGCTCAAGTGGAAAAGCATCTGCCTAGCAACTGTAAAGTCCTGAGTTCAAACTTCAGTACCACCAGAAAAAAAAAAAAAACTAAGCATTCTGTCCCAATTAGAATTAATGTTCTTTATGCCAAGTGATTTGCCAAAGTGCTGTTTAAAAAATAAAAATACTTCTCAACATTCAAGCATTGACTGTCCCTTCATTACCATCCAACTCCCTTGTTACAACTCAAAAAGTAAACATGTGCTTTCTAAAGCTGATCCTATTAACAATTTAAAAATTAAAAACAAAACAAAACAAAAAACCTCATATATTTTACGCAACAATCTAGGCAAGTGCTACACTGGGAGCTTTCACATAGTGCTCTGGTGCCTCAAAGGAAAGGTTTAGGCTTCAGAGTAAAGACACAAATGCACTTGCTCTAAGTGAAACGGCCAGAGCGAGACAAGAAAAACAAACACCAAACCCAAGTTAATGATAATGAAAACCCACAAGGAATAAAGAAAATTCATCCATGTCAAACAACAGCCATGCATTTAGAATTCTAATTCACATTTTACTCAGTGCAGCTTAGGTCAGTTATGTTACTATAATGAAACTGACTTTGCTGTTTACATTCAAAGGTGTAATGCAATGGTGTAGTGGTTTCCTGTAGCACATGGTTCACCTCCAGAGCTGTCTGTACAATTGGGAAGAACATTCAGTATGGCAGCAAAGGCCAACACCCACCTCTTTCATACCAAATACTAAGGTCCATACCC